TAGGCATGAGAATAAAGGATTATTTCCCCCTATAAAGGAATGGATTAATCACCAGCCATACCAAAATGACGTCACATTTCGCTAAGACCACTGACAGGAGGTAAGATGGCATGAAGCAATAAAGGCATTTTTGAAAGTTCATATCTCAGTGAATAATTTTTTTTGAACAATGGGAGTTGTTACACTTAATAAAAAGTTCAGGAAATCATATTAAGCCAATAGACCACTGGAAGTGAAAATTGTTTGCGTAATTTTGCGTAGGAAGATTATTAGAAATTTTTACAGTTGTAAGGTATGGTTTAGGATGAAATAAATTCCAGTAGCCATTTGATTGGCAACTTTCAACGGAGAACAAACGGGCCAAGATAGAAACAAACCTGTATTAAGACTTCTGCAGCCAATTTGACCAAATCCCTTACAGGAGACGCCTAAAGGCAGCTGTTCTTTCTTATAACAAGCACTTTTTAGCTATTGATAGAGCTAAAGCAGGTAAGTTAGGCATATTCTTCGTGCCTCCATTGACTTCCTTAACAAACTTGCAAACCAAAATGGCAGCCAATTATGCAGTGTGGGCAGATACCATATCACATCCATATGTAAAATTAATGAAATTCATATCTTTTCTAATTCTCACTTCCAGTGGTCTATAACATAAAATACCTAAAAAAACCAAAGCAGTTACCCTTTAAACTTTTCAAAATTATGCCAAACACTCTAGAGCTTTTTAGAGATAGAGAACTACTTTCTCTGGCCACAGGCCAACAGCATAAGTATTTAACCAGTTGGTAAGTAAACAGACTAAGAAACAGACTCAGAGAACAGCCTGTGTAGGTGACATGTGGTAGGCATGGCCGTGGCCGTGAATTATTGCAATAACCAATAATAATATTATGCAAATAGTTCGAATAGCAAAAAACTATTCAAATATTACAATAACAAACGAATATTCGATATCTCACTTATTTTTCAGCCCTACTAGTAATAATGGACTTACAAGTAGCTGCTAATATTCCATAAGTACCATACTTCCTTAAATAAAAGCCAAGCGTCTATTTCCTAAAATGGTATTTGGACCTCAAAAAATAAAAAAAATAAAAAAACTTCGGCACAGAGCAGGATTCGAATCCATGACCTCATACACTTGACTACTGGAACTTTAGGCAGTATCCATTAGACTACTGAGACACATTTACATGTATGCTACATTTGCATATTTATACTTGAATTCTATTGCTACCCCGGCATTAATTTGCATGCAGCTTCTATTTAAGGAAATACGGTACATGCATATCACATCAAAATCTTCCCATTAAACTTTGCAAGAAGCAAAAATCAACCCTCAAATGTGATCAGGAGCCTATGAAACTTCGAAGGTAAGGATAGGAGTATAAAACTCCCACACATTTAATTGAAATAACTGTTCCTAGTCTTGACTGAAATAGTGAGAAATACTGCCATTTTGGCACTTTCAGTATCATGTGCTCACAAAGGCATCCGCCCATCCTTGCAATTATTATTGACAGGTATACCATATTGGCAGTTTTATTTTGAATCACCTTTCCGCCAAATTTAATTCTCCGCCAAATTTTCTAGCTTTATGGTATTACTAACTGGTGTGGTGACCTTGTGCTAAAAATAGTAAACTCATTAAGCTATTCACGAACAAGTTACATGCATTTAATTAAATGCAAAGGAGTTTTACGGTACTACCTTTTCCCTCTTCTTTCATGGGCTCCTGACGTAATGGCAAAGAGGTAGTGCAAAACTTCTTATGAACACAATATTAAACTTCACATACAATGAGTATTAACAGCAATTGCATGTACATTATACCTTGTTCCACCTGTAGCACGCAGTTTAATATGTAAAGCAGTGACACCCCTTTCCTTACATAGCTGAGCAACATCTTGGGCAGCCAGCATAGCAGCATAAGGTGATGCCTACATGTACACACCAAATAGCAAATGTTCAAATACATGATTCACTACACACAAGAAAGCTACTATTATCTGCATGCACATTAACAAATAAACTTCCTCTGGGTGCATTTCCTTAAATCTAAGAATCAGTTTCAACAAAATATACTAGTCATAACGAGCAACAATTTTCATTATCATCAATAAACCATTTGTTGTGTCTACATGACATCACAAATCACAACATTTACAAACGTACCAATAGTCACACAGCTGCTTTTCAATTAAACCATGATATACATGTCATGTACAGTGTAGTATAATTGAGAATGTTACATCCACAGTATCATTTAAAGAGGTAGAATTTAAGGTGCCATATAGCAGGTTTTTTTTTCACAGATAATAATTTTTGCAAATGATCCATATCCGTAAGTTCACAGAATTAATCTTCACAAATTTCCACCATGCTGCATTTTGTACCATATTAAATTGATTTTCAAGGATTTTCATTTCAAAGCTCTAGAAATATGCACTAAATTCACAAAATTTTTCATCCTAAAACACTGCTATACAATAATGCTTTAGCTATTTAGGTACAAAGAATCATTCCCTCAGTCATTCTTCCTCATCAGCAGTCTCCCACTTCATCTTTGAGAGTTGATTAAAGGCAGATTTACAATATGACACTACGCCAATGTACCATCAATTTTTAATCAAAAGTGTGGGCAATTTGACCTTTTGACGCATACTTCAGGCTGGAGTTGATCCAGATTCAACTTCTGTGTCAACAAAACGTCAGGACAAGCGTCATATTGTAAATCTGGCTTTAGTCAGCCCATTGCTCCTCATTACTGCTCCTCATAATTATGTGTAATGACAGTACTTCCACAGTATAAAACTATTGCTCTTTTCAAGGTACATATACAAATTGTAGGCTTAAACAAAGTAAAATAAAAGATATGGCTCATTATGGCTACAAGTTAGCTCGTACAATTCTTTTCTTCATTTCCATAAGTGTACTGTATGTGGCCAAAAACAATCATGAAGGTCCAAGCTACACTCATCTTTTCGTATCCTTTTAGTCTCATTGTATCATTTTAGTCTCATCGTATACTTTTCATCTCATCATATCCTTTTAGTCTCATCATATCCTTTTATCTCATCCAATGCCTTCTTGCTAAAACATTCATTCTTTATGGACCAAGTGGTGTACAGGTGGTTACCGTTTCATTTCATATGCCTATGCGGTCATCAAATGTGGGCAGCAGACCAGCAGTAATGCTCTCTAAGTGCCAAAGTGCTTAGATTTCTCTTCTACTTTCCTACACGTGCACTCTAGATAGTTGTTTCATACATGCACATCAAAATACCTGAGTAAAAAGGATCATGCAAAAAAGGCCGCTGTCAGTAGCATGTTGACAACGTCAGTGTGGCCCTACTATAGTCTTAAGTCATTGTCACCATTTTCCTTTCAATGGCCACACACGCTTTTCTCAGAAAACTAATGGCCGTAGATATTTGCTAAGGTGTCTCAGATCGAATTAACACAGTGCATACACAAAATGAAAAAAATTTGATACACGTGAATGTAGTGTTAGATCTAGGAATAAATTAAAATTTTTAGGACAACACAATTATACTAAAACTATAGATTTAAGATATTAAGGCTAAACTGAGAAACCAAATGTGGCAAACAAAAAAGTTAACATGATTAACCTCTCTAAATCAATCAGAGGAGATGCATGCAGTCATGTACATGTACAATGCACATAGCATACATGTAGGCTGTGAACACAATGTAAACCATGAGATATACATATACATGTAGGTTGAAACACACATGTAAACAAGATAATATATAGACCAGTTGGCGCTAAGTATATTCATTTAATTTTGAGTAGATTCATTGTGGTACGGTAAATCAAGTAAAATTTTCCTACCACCATTTAGGAGTTATAGTTTACTAAGAGTAGAATGGGAGAAAGCAAAATCTGTGCTTCTATATCTTTTAGTGGCACTTATTAAAGTCCATGAGCAAACTATAGACACTGGATGATGGTCAGTAAGCAGTAGTAAGATTGTTGTAACGAATAAATACAGCAGTTATGGAGAATAAGCTCTTTTCACAATCGCTCCATAAAAAACATTGGAGCTAGGACTCCAAAATGGCGGCAGGAAAATTTTACTTTATTTGCGATATCACGATGCATATACTTAAAATACTATGAATGTGCTTAGCTTAGCACCAACTGGTCTATATTTTAAGAACAATGAAAAATATAAAAATACATGAAGTTAAGTGTCTGTTGCTCTAAAGGAGTTGTACTATTTTACAAATAAAAATCACAATCCAAATAGACACAAGTATGACTATGATGAGACACTAACTACAAACACCATTAACAACTGTGATACATAAATGTACATGTATATTTAATTTAAACTTTCCCCAGCACTGGCCAGCAGCTAGACTACATGTATATGTAATAGGCTTAATAAATTTGAGCAACAAAGTAACTATAACAAGTTTAATTCAGGTTGCTGGCACTAAGTAACAATGTACAAGGTGGTGTCTATGCCAACTCTAATAAAAAATCAAAAAATTATTGGCCTTTAGGTTTGGACAATACCCAAATTAAGAATTTCTGAGGTTCATAATCACTTAAACACATTTAACACAGTATTCAATAAATTATTCAGAGAATAAAAATGCAGGTATAGTCAGTTTCAGTTGAGTTTGACCACAGACGCAACCTTATAACTTCTCTATATATTTTATGCTAGCAGTTTGAAACTTGCTTTAGTTGCAATACTGGTTCTTCTGAAAATTTTTACCGAATTCAGAGTCTCTAGGTGCTCTGGAAGGCTCTCAAAAGGTTCTTCTGCTCAACATGAAAGGGAACCACAATGATTCTTCGTGACATAAAGCTTCGTGAATATAATATGCATCGATAAAATGACAATAATCACGTTTTTTATTATTTCAAAATCAAATAAAGCAAAGGGAATAAATACCGTATATCGGGTATATTTCAATGCATTAATAATTTCGGAAAAAGCAATCCATTACAAAAATAAATATTATGAAATTTTAAAATATCCGGATAAAAAGGAATAGAAGATATGTGGTATTGTGCAATTATTATGAACACGTGGCTTCATAGCTTCATTCTAGTCTAACTCGAAGGCCATAAAGAGCCTTCTTTGCCAGTTAGAAGTGTTGCTAAGGTTGATTCAGAAGTGGAGAAGTCAGCAAATGCTTCGATTGACTTACCAAACCAGGTGGTTGATGGAAATGATAGCAAGTAAAATACATGTATTTACGGAATATAAAAGGCTTCCGAATTATTCCATCATTGAACTTAATATTTCCACGACTTTTCATGCATTGAAATATACCCGATATACGGTACTCCTGGCCAATATATAATTGAACTAGAAGACTTTGCACTCCAGAAAGTAGTCATTTAGTGTGCTGTGCCTCCCTAACCCTTCTTTATTTGTCATCACTATTGCTGCTCAGAAATTCAGTTGAAATTTTGAATATCTCACTTCTTTCTTCAGAAAATAGCAAGCACAAAAATCCTTTATGTCAATTGCAGCGTTAGCAGCAAACAAAATAAGAAATAAGCAAGTTACAAAAAGAAAGGAGCATAATGAAGTTTTTAGCTATTCTATTTCAACATGGCTGGGACTACAGGTGACATTTCAATGATGAAAACATCCAGTCAAACTCAACTGAAACTAATTATAGTACATGTACATGTACAATGTACATGTAGATAGGCAAAATCAATTTTAGAGAAATTAAGAGGTAAAAAGTCTTGCAACAGCAGCAACACAATATCAAATTTAAATTACCAACCTCATCACGATCAGCTTTAACTTTCATTCCACCAGTTACACGAGCAATTGTTTCCCTAAAAACGGAGATATATTATACATGCAAATTGTATTACTCCACTATTAAGAGAACATTTCCCACATCATGTCATATACTATAATTGACAACCGTCTAGCTGAAAAGGTGGACAAGTGGAACATATTTCACTTCATTTTGTCACAAATGTAATAGCACACACACACACACTATTCGCCAGTGTTTAATGGAATGACAGCATGCCCACCCATATCTTTTGGATCAACTACACTAGCACATAGGTTACTTCGCTGAGAAACTAAAAAACCCTCTCGTAATATCATGCTTTATCCTCCAGTACAATGAGCCAGAATTTGGTGCTTGGGTTTTTTTAATTTACCACCTATGGCTAATTCACTAGTTCATTCTACCATTTCAAGGGCCAGAAAAAGACAGCAAGAAGAGGTGTGGCAAACTCCTATAGTTAGTTGCGATATGCTTTCATGAAATATTCAACATGCCACACAACTTGAACAGTGACATCTTTATGTCAGCCCAATTTTACATAGCAGTTAACAAAACTAGTCATACTCCAGTTCATCCACTCACAAAAAATATCAATACCTGCCAGAGAGATCAGTGACATGGACAAATGTATCATTGAAAGAAGCAAAAATGTGAGCAACACCAAACACAAACTCTCCCTCCGCAACTTGGGGCCCAAGCTGGACATTTTCTTCTTGCTGCTGCTTCCCCTTTCGTTTTGCCATTTCTAAAATATATCAAAATGATTTTAAAAATGAATTATACTGCTATAAATTACCTATGATTGCGTTAGATTTCGATTCCAAGACAAAATGGTGGAGTGGTGGAGAAGCCTGTTGTAAACTTGTAGTGTGGCTCGAGACTCAGGAGCAATAGAGCATGCGCAGTTACTGAATGGGCTGGTCCATGGGCGCGGTTTTAGTAGTATACGGATTTGTGACCAGTGTTCCTTAGTCCGTGACTCTGTGTCCAGTGTTCACTCCACTTCATTCATTGAACCTTGAAAATAACCTTTTCCCTCACCTTTTCCCCATCTATAAAGTAGGTTGACACCATATAATAGGCTATTTTCTATTTTGTCATGTTGGAAGTTGTTTTTAGCGTCATTACTTAATGTCTTTATGTCGTAAGATTAAGAGTTATTCGCTATGGTAATGCTGCATGTATAAGTATACATATATATAGAAGTTGTTACATATCTAGTATTATTGTTGTATGATTTGTGAAACCCTTTAGGCGGAGATGCTTTGTCTTGTACTATTAACAGTAGGAAATTTATTGTACTTGTTTGTAAAGGCATGTTCATGTCCTTAAAAGATATGAGTGTATGATTATACTGCCCTCCACGTCTGCTCATTAAGTCAAAAATTTTATATCTAATTGCAATGGCCTAAAGTTTGTCACTAAACCAACAACACTTATGATACAAATAAATTTTACTACATGTACCTATGGACAGAAGCTGCTTTACAGGATTTAAAGGTTACAGAATACCATAAGTCAGGATATTTATAACGCGGTATAAAATTTGTGTTGAATATTGTGCTGTAATTTTATTTTTACTGATTGAAACCGTGCTATGTATTATTGAATGTTGCATATGCATATGTAATCACTGCATGATGTAATTTTTTGCAAAGTTCTAATACAGGAAAATTAAAATCATGGTCAAAAAATTTGCAGGTACATGTATGCAGTATTTAAATCCTGATACATTAAATTTACAATGTACATGTATTTTAGGCAGGATCAGACTAAACACTGCCAAACTTTTATATGGGATATTTGTAAGGGACATGACAGAAATTAACGATTGACATTGCATTTTGTTGGCTCTTATTATTTTGTAGATATTGTGCTAATCATGTGAAAGTCGCTTTTCCTTGTGCATGAATGAGCGCTTATTACTAGCTAATTTTAATTGTGTGCTTATGTAATTAATAGTGCTCAACAAGTATTAACCCTTTTATTATGCTTATCCAGACTACATGTATTGGTGAGGGGGAGCTTAGAGTAGGAGGTTTCCTGAGCACACTTCTTGATAAACACCAATATACTGTACATGTACTTGTATTTCCACCAATTGCAAAGAAATTACCAGAATTTCTCTAAATATTATGCATTCTAAATTTATAAAATTTGTTTTGTCTAAATTCGACACTTTGCCTCAGTTAGTTGGAATTGTATCAATTCATACCCAGGTTACCTCAAATATGACATGTCACTGGCAGTGTAGAATCCCCCGAAATACCGTATAGCAGAAAATTTTGGAAGGGATTATAGCAGAAAATTTTGGAGGGGATTAAAGTTGGCGTTTGATAGCCATTTGCCAGAATTAAAACCCGCCATTTTGAGCCATTATACGCATACTTGATGACATGTAGTCACAAATTTGCCAAATTAAAAATCCGCCAATCACCAAAATTTTAGCAATTCACCGAAATTTAGCCCCTCCAAATTTATCGTATTTCCTCGTGAAAACACCTACTCCCTATAAACGCCCATGCCTGTATAAACGCCTAGAGACAGCATATACAAGTAACTTTGACAATAAACATCCATGCTTATGTAGATGCCCATTCTTGATTAAAAGCCTATACCACACCCACCGCCCCATCCACGTGGTACATGTACCTTACGTAGTCTACATTCTACAATGGCAGCTGCAGCTGAGAAGGCTAACGAAACTCATAGAAGTTTTGATGTCGGTTTTAAACTACGCATTGTGTATATTGAAACATGGTGTTAAGGATTATTTTTGGTTATAAACGCCCACCTCGTATGAACGCCTACTTCATTTAAACACCTAGCAAACAGGTCTCTATAAGAAATAAATGCCTAGGCGTTTCCACAAGGAAATACGGTACCCGCTATACGGTAAATGTACATGTAGGATCTTCAAAGCTTTTTTCTTCAAGAAATTCATTATTTATATTTATCATTCAAAAACTTAAAGTGACAAATTATTAGAGGAATTATGATGTAAAGCAATTAGCAAATGCCAAATATTTACCTCCGTCAATATTTTAGCTGTACGCTTGTTCATGTAGTACTACATTACATTATGTATTGCATACATGTACATGTATGTACTGCAGCATATACAACAGTTTATGTATGCTTGTACCTTGATATGATATATATTTTTATTGTATTGATAGGAAGTATAATGAACAAAACAATTGTACTAGAACGAACTGTGTGTAAGGGCTCAGGTACCTTGGGTTCTTTTGGCTTTTCTGTCATGGGGGGTGCTTCTGCAAAGCTGCCAGCTGTTGTGTGCAGTGTTGAAGCTGGTGGACCTGCCGCTGAAAGTAACCAGGTATTTTATACATTGTGCAGTACACTCTGTTACTTGTATATAAGAACAATTAAGCACAGGTATTGAAGTACTCATGCAGTATTTACAAATTACAATACTTTTGAACGAAAATTGTAATAATTGTACCAGTATGTGTACTTTATATTGAAAGTACAGTACATTTATTTAAAGGAGAGCACTAAAGTGCATACCCTCACCACAATCTTCAAGTAACAGTTTTAACTTTTAATAGATGAAGTGAAACTTAGTGATTAGCCAAACAGAAGGTTGCTGCAGCAGTGTAAAGGTGTGGCTACAATGAAGGTGTGGCTTAGTCAAGCTATGCTGAGTATGCTTTACCCATGCACACACTCCACACAGTAATGGTGGCACATGGGCTCAGGGGTGAATAAAGCTTTGGTTTTTCTCAACTTTTTGAATATTTTAGCACTCACTTATTAGGCTCTATTTGTTGCATGCAAACTGTTGTTGAGTCTCTGATGTTTAAAGATTCTGTCCACTACTTATGGAGAAGAGAGTCTCAGAGTGTAAACCAACAAGGTAAGCCTGTTTGGCAATCATATCTGAAGAACAAGATGATTGGAGCAATTTCTTACATCAAAATGAAAGATGAGGTTTTGTTCTATTGCTTCATTTCATTAGTCTTTTTGCTATGAATCCTTTCCCAATGAGAGAGTTACATGTATGCAAGTGCCAACCAACTTCAGCAACTTTGTTAGCTTTTACTCTCTCAGAAAAGATACATTGTAAATAAAGCAATATGCTGATAGGAACAAACTTTTCCAAGCTCCAGTTTTGATTGTAAGACTCTTAAGAACTCGAATAGAAAGCAGCAAAGGCTTGCAAACAGATATGGCTTGGACACACACACACACACACACACACACACACACATACACTTATTACATTTACAGTAATGAATAATTAAAATCAATCAATTAATTGCATCATACATGTAATCAATAAAAGCACCACATGGCCCCTAATAATGGCTACTCAAGTCCACATTGGTCTCCAGTACTAGCTACCCAGGCCCATACTACACTCCCAGAGGAACTAGATGTA